TGAAACAATATGCGGGTGCCACCTCTGGAGATCAGCTTCCTCTTTGGAGATGTAAGAAACTAGGGCATGAAGGGAAAGGCCTCTCTGGTAGAGCATGTGACTGAATGCATTGCTGGCCCTGACTACCTGAAAGAGCTGTCTGCACACAGTACAAGTGGGATTTTGTCAGGGTGTGTCATTTGTAGAAAGGAAGCATTTAGCTTTCAAGAGTGATGGTGTGTGGCAGTGCAAGGGGCCATTTGGGTGGAGGTGAGAAGGTTCCATAAATGCCTGGGGAACATGTCAGTGTTCTTCTCCATACACAGGTAGATTTATAGATGTAAAACCAAATAAAATACATAGTATATAAAAAACAGAATATAGCATATATATACATATATATCATATCTATATGAAAGCACAGGCAGGTGTGCACACCAGCAAGGACAATATGCAGAGCCAGTGGGGTTGTACAAGGCTATTTCCAGAGGGTAAGGGGAAAGGAGGGCTGCTTGCCAGCAGGCTAGCATAGCCAAGCAGATTTGCTGTTCAGCTTCATTATTTACTGGGTCCAATTAGGAAGCCAGGGGATAGGAAATGTGGCTGAGGCAAGCAGGCCTTCAAAGCCTTCCTCCTGCACACATCAAAGCTGCTGCCGCAGATCCCTCTGCAAAAAAGGCTCTGCCAGCTCCGAGCAGCAGCAGCAGCCGCCTGGCAAACGCTGCTCGGGGTCATTCCCTCTTGGTTTGATTGTCGAGCCTCCCGGGCTCCTGCTCTCTCTATCTCCAGCCTCCAGAGCAGAAAGCTTCTCTTTCTGAATTACTGGGACAGAGTTAAGGAGCTAAAGCTTGGCAAGGTGGTGTTTAATGGGGCTGTAGCAACAAACCAAGCTAACTGTGAACATGTGAAAGACAAAAAACCAGCAGGGAAGCAGGTTGCTTGAAGTCATGCAAGGGGATGGTTTGGGATGAGAAGAGCTGCACTGAGTGAGAAGTCATCTGCCTAGGGGAACCTGAAAAGACCCTCACTGGGAAAGGGCTGCACTGAAGCAGGCAGAACAGCCAGGAGACGACCCTTGTCAGCAAGGAAGCTTTGGCAGTACGGTCAGAATTTCATACCTTGATAATCTGCTCAAGGCAAATGTCTTAATGGGAATGGAGTGGCTCACTTGCCAGGAGCTGGCAGTCCCTCTTTCACCTAATAGAATATGTTCATTGTTATTGGTACCAAAGAGCATTGTCCAAGCCTTCTCCCTCCCTGCTTTGATAAACTGCATAGCGACAACCATCAGTTCTCTACCAAAGCTGGCTCCTGTGAGGAAACATTTGTAAATTCACTCAATGTATAAAGCTCTGTTCCTGCTCCCCACACCCCCTGTTTGCCTTAGAGGTTAGAGTTAATATGACTCACCTAATCTGGCTGCCAAAGTGAATTAGTGAAAACATCTCTACAGCTCTCTGCAAGATATCACAACCTGACATTTCTCTAACACACTGTGATACATCTTTCCTCTCCCTGATCTGTAGTGCAACACCTCAATTTTATATAAATGCTTTTTGTTAGAAATGGTTAATGTGCTCTTAGAGGGGACAAGGAAGCATGCAAAAGGGTCTGTCTTGAAAGTGAGAGCAGCTCAGTTCTTGTAGCAAAATGTTGATGCTCCAGGGTCACCAGTGCAGAGACAAGAACAGTGCTGCCACTTATTTCAGCAAGAGACTGTCACAGAAACTTTCCCTGAAGTGTTACGTATATGAGCGTCCTAGAGCAGGGGAATGAGGAGTTGAATAGGATTATTGATGTCTTTGACATGCTCTTTAGAGCAGAAGTCCTGCCTTTCACTTAACTTCCAGGGCACTCCACTGGGCAAGCCAGCAGCTCATCATGTCTTGGGAGGGGTTCTGCGTAGCTGTGAAAGCTCTCCTGCTGGACATGGTACACAGTACACTTCAAGTGCATGTATGTATGCAGGGGAGAAGCTCAAAAACATCTTCCCTTGGGAGAGTATCTACCCTTGTAGGTTACTTTGGAGCTCCACTGATGTGGTTCTCTAACAGACAGACTTAACAGCACCCGTAATGAGGGTGCCACTCCATTAGAGCTGGTTAAGTCACCCTCAACCCTGTTTTCATTACGGTGACAGTCTTGTGACAAGGGCAAATTGCAGGAGAAGCAAGTCCCACTTGGAATGAACCCTGTGTATAAACAAGCCAGAATTGCAGAGCAAATGAGTTGCAAAACAGAGGCAAATTATGTTTTAACCTTTTCTTTGTGAGTCTTTCCCTGATGTCTGATTAACTTTCCAGTCAACTGACTGACCTACCAACTGGGAGTGCTGCTGTGAAAGGAGGGGAGTGTTGCTTGTCAGCTCAGCTTGGGGGTGGGATTTTTAAAGCAGTTTATTAGCAGGTAGCAATATGAGCAATATGCCATAAGAAAATCTAGAAATTAAGAGAGTTCCCAAACAGAAATGATCCCTGCTGTAGCAAAACCAGAAGCAATGTGCTGTGTCTACAGACAGCAGCACGGTGCAGTAGTTGCAGTGCAATCCTTCATCTGTGTTCAGCCATGGTAACACCTCATCTGAAATGCTGTGTTCAGTTTGGGGTATCGCACATGCAGAAAAATGTGAACTTGTCAGAGAGGTCTAAAAGCAAAGAACAAGAATGATCAAGAGCCTGAAAAAGCCTCACCTACAGAGGAAGGTTGAAAGACCCTGGCAATGTTCAGCCAAAAGAAAAGAAAAAAAAAAGATGACAGCTGAGGGAGGAACATAAGTGATTTAAAAGTTGATAAAAGGCTATTGCAGGGAAGGAGGGAATGATTTGTTCTTTTTGTCTGTAGTGGCTAAGACGAAAGTAATAGCTTTAAATTGCAGCAAGGGAGACTCAGGTCAAACTTGAGGAAACTGCTCAAGTGATAAGGACAGCAAAGCACAGGAACAGATTGTCAGGAGTGGCTGGAGAATCTCTGCCGCTGGAGGGCAGAGGATGGCTGTGTCCCTGACATCACTCGTGTCCTGCCTTGAGACTGGGGAATGGCTTAGATGGTGCCTGAAGCCCCTTCCCACAGTGCTGTGACTCACCTAACTCTGGTCCTACAGGGGCTAAGATTCCCTAACATATTCATGAGTTCCAGCAATAAAAAACACCTGTGAAAATCTCACATTTATGCTGCTTTCTTCTCCACTGGCTCTCCACAGCATCAGCCCCAGTGCAGAGCAGAGGACTGAGAGCCATGTCTTGGCAGCAGGAGCCAACTTTGCCTCCTTCCCTTGTGCAAAACACTCCTGCCATGCAGGAAGATCCTGCAGCAGACTGTTAGGGGATGCAAAAAACAAAGAAGCTGTGAATTTTAGACACAGCAATGAGATTTCCACTACCTGAACATCTGGTAGGAGCTGGAAAAAGGGACTGCTGATTAGCCCTGCTGAAAGAGAGGGGGAGTCCTTGTCTTTACATGAGTTTAATAGGTACTCTGCTGTTTTCATGCCGAGTCTCTCTGACGAGGGGTGGTTTTCCTCTAGAATGATTCTGAAAATTGCCTGTGAAAAAGAAAAAAAAAGCAAAAATAATTATGTAAGGGACAGAGTTCTGAGCAGATTTTGAGGTTTCTGAAGTCGCTCTTCGATGCTGAGGGGAATTGCACACAGCTGGTATCACCAGTGTGTGTGGCCAGGCTGACCTGGCCAAGACACTGCAGCAGGTCTGTGCCTCTGGGGTGGGATCTGTTGCAGGTGGCTCCAGGAGAAGTTCAGCTCCAGAGACCAGACTTACCCACTGCTTTCATGCTGTGCCATAAACCAAGGGGAGCAATAGGCACTATTTGAACTCCCTCAAAAATTGTAAGCACTTTTGTGAAGCGGGCAGGGTTTCAGAAGTGCTCGGCACCTGTAGAGCAGAAAATACCTTCTGGGCAGAGTTTTTTGGAAAATCTGACCACTCTCTGAGGAACCTGAATGGGAACTCTCATGATATGACCTTTTTTTTTTTTTTCCAAATCTGTCTTTTACCCTTTTAGGGTTGGGAGCTGATTTCTCTAAACAGACCCAGGCACACAATTGGGGCTTGCAGTTTCCAGTGCTGCAGAGCAGTGCTTACAGCCCTCTGAGAAGAGGAAATGTGGCTCAGATTTCTTACAGGAGATGCCTTACCTTGCTTTCTGAAGGAATAGGGTAGATATACCAATGCTAATATTTCATGCTTCCCTGGCAACTTCCATGCAATGAATTTAATGTGTTTTACATGGGTTAACCTCACTGCCCTGCTCTCAGCATGAGGTGATGGGAGAGGGGGAGCTATTTGCTGCAGTTTACAGAGGGAGAGCAAAGGAGTGACTCACTCAAGGTCATACAGTGAGTTAAAAGCAAGGCTAAAGACCTCCCCCAATTCCTGCCCTCATCCATAACCCCGACTGACACCCAAGTCACTGTTTTCCAAAGTGAGTAAGTGAGGCAGCACGGTTTAAATGTGTCATTTCATATATACAGTAGCTCAGGGATGCGTGATGATTATTGGTCTCTGCAGATCAAATTACAGTTTGTTTCTCTCAGTTTTGCTGTGTTTAACGGCAGCTTGATCTGATCGATGGCACTTCAGGGTGGTGGTTACTCTGAGAAACAGAAAGACATTTTTCACAGTTTTGCAGTGGACAAAAGGGTGCTGACAACACATCTGAGGACCCAGCTAGCCCTGAGCCAGCACATCACCCACAGCACAACTATCCTCTGGTGGTACTCAGCCATCACACTGGTGAACTTAGTCTGATCTTGTGTGGTGTAGAATTTGCTTCTCAAACTGGCCAGCCTCTGTATCATTCCACCTGAATGCCACCTTCCAGATTTTCAGTTTTCCATAATTAAATGAAATACTGGTATCTTGCTGATGCAGCTTCTGATAAAACTTTTAAAGGGCTCATGACTGTTGCTTGTTTGCAGACTCCATGTTGTCACTGTTCCTCCATAGCAATTTCCTCAGTCGGGAAGCCTAACAAGAACCACCGTTTGTATTTTTCTGCCCTACCAGGCAGAGAGTTTGAAGGTGAGGAGGAATACCTGGAGATCCTGGGGATCACACGAGAGCAGTCGGGCAAGTATGAGTGCAAAGCTGCCAACGAAGTTGCCTCAGCAGACGTCAAGCAAGTCCGGGTCACTGTGAACTGTGAGTATATCAGCTGGGGCAGGGCAATGGGGAGAGCTTTGCCCACAGGCAAGGGTTACTTCAGGATAAACAGAGAAGCCTTTCTGGGTTTGGATTATACAATCTGAAAGGGAGGGCACTGAGAAAACTATCTGCAATCAGACACTTGCCACAGGGTACAGTTTGTGCTTTAAACCTGGTAATATATAAGAAAAGGCTGAGGGAGGTGTGGTGCAGAGAGACAGACAGAGAGGGAGAGAGAGAAAGAAGAGCTGTGAGTTGTCCCCGTCTCTCCCCTCCAAAAGGCTGGCAATGCCTTGTTTTCACTCATTGATATTCGGGTGAACAGTAGCGTGAAGAGAAGCTTCACCAAGGCAGCAAGGAGAGATAAGGGAGGGCTCAGCTGGCTCAGAGCAAACACATGCCTGCCTGCACCCAGCCATCTCAGCAGTGCCTACACCGCTGTCACAGCCAGGGGACACGGGGCAGAGGCACGTGTTAATGACAGGGTGCAAAAACTTAACTTCTATGCTGTTTTCAGGTCATTAGTTTAAAGCTCTATCTAAAGACCCTTCGTGCACCAGTGCTATACAGAAAGGGGTTTTGTCCAAAGGATACAACAATCCCCTAAAAGCACCGAGAGGCACAGTAAGCTGTGGCTTACTTCCATACCTAAGGCTTGGGGCATGGATCCCACCCCATATGTCCTTAGACAGATGCCCACTTCACTCTGGCATGCTCTTCTCACAGTAACACAAGATATGTCAAACTGATGTTACTCTATCGTACACATGTGTATGTCCATCCTCCAAACTTGTGTGGCTTGAATTTGGCACTTGAGTGATGTAAAGTGAGCTATCCCCATGCTTCGTTTCCTTGCTTGAAGGCTAATAACTTTGCAGCAAGGACGGATGAATGGGAGGCAAATCCTCTCCTGACCTTCTTCAGTTTAAATTGAGACTTAAACCAGAATACTGACTTAAACTGGAATTGGAGATGGCTACAGATATATTTCTGGGTGCATATTCATGTCTTGATTCACAGGTGGAACTGTTAGGGAATGGGTTAGGGCAGAGAGCTGATGGCATCAAGTGTTTCAGGCAATACCAGTCTTAATTTGACTGTAGGTGATTACAGCACCTTTTAATACCATTCTTGCTCTTCATTTCTTTCCCTTGGTCCCGTGCTGGCCATCACATCAGATCAACTTTTCTGTCCAGCTTAAAAGTTGAGGTTACAGGCTGCAGCATCTTCTCCTGGGAACTTTTTATAATTCCCTTAGAAACTGGATGGTAGTGGTTTAATATCAGCTGCCTCATGGGCCAAATTTGGCATTAATATGAACTGTAGTAGCAGATTTTCTGCACTGAAAGTATAGAAGTGTCAAAAACAGCTGAGTTTATAAACTGGAAACTTTCCATGAGAACCAATTAATACTTTCAGACATTTCTGTGAAACATAATTTCAATGGTGCTTTAATGTGTTTGAAACAGATTGTTTGTATAAAGTCAGAATGTTTGATTTTGATTTAGTTTCAACACATAATAACTATGCCACGGTAAGATCTTAAACATTTTAACTGTGGGAAAATATGAAAAAGTGATGTTAATATGTGATGTAATTTATAATGTAAGCAACTTAAAAATCCTTAAGAATAGCTTTTTTCTTTTGAAAGAAAGGGAAATAAATCTAAGAGACTATGAGGACCATACAGGAAAAGAAATCAGTCCTATTAGGGGAATGAAAAGTAGATATTTGCATACATCTTTACTTATCCTGCTTTGTTGAACAACACCACAAGCAGCAGAAAGTGGAAAAACCACAGTAAGTTTGAAAAATGGGGCCTGTCCAACCTCAGGAGCTTCCTGGTCATCTCTTATCTGCTATGGAGCACTGTCAGCTCCGACTGCAGGAGAAAGCATCTCTCTTTGCTTTGGTCTCACACTACCACCTTCAGGCTTCCCAAGTAATTGCCCTTGCACATCACAGACAGGGAAACTGAGGCCTGGAGAGAGTGAGAGTGGAACAGCTAAAGGGAACCCACTCCTGGCTTCCCAGGCAGCAAATGGCTACACACAGAGCAGCTGCTTTCTGGGTGCACTAGGCTGGTTTGTCTGGGACTGCCACCTGCCCCTTCTCCCAGGAGAGCACTGCACCACCTTCTTAAAGTGGTGAATATGGGGGCTGCTCAAGAGCAAAGGGCTGGGCTCCCTGGCAGCAGGCTGGGGAGCAGACACTTGCTGGAATCATTTTCTAGGCACCTATGGAAAGGTGCCTATTCATTCTGTCACTCACCTCTTGTACCAGATTCATGAAATGGAAAGGTTTGTCTTGCTGTAGACAGCAAGAAGATATACTGCTCAAACCAAAAAAATCAAAGAATGGTTCAAAAATCACCTTAGCTATCCTTTTATTATGCCTCCTCCTCTTCAAATTAAAATATTTACACAGACCCACAGCCTTTGAATGTAGGATCCTATTTATGTAAACTTATTAATATTTATGATGTTAGAGGGTGCACTGCAGTATCCCTAAAGCCCTGCATAAAATCCCGATTAAGGTCAGGGAAGGGATCATATTGAGATGGCTAATGTGTTCACAAACAAATTTCCTTCCCTACATTCTCCAGACAGAATTATTTTTTTTCTTTGACTGACACAATCCGTTTTGCTTTTTTTTTTTTTTTTGGCCTTTCAGTTCTGAGACAGATACAGATGGCAGAGAGTGTTTCATGGTAACTTGAATCTCAGCAAAGTATCTGTCTGAGTCGCAGCCCTGTAATCTCAGGGTATGCAAGTATTAGTGATGAGAGACAAGGCACTTATTCCTTGATCCCTCTCAGCAGCCAGGTGGAAATAATTCTGCCTTTTAACATGTAAAGCTTATCGCTTAATATTTTGAACATGGGGCTGGGATTGAAGATGCCGGTGCCTACCCTACCTGGTATCCAGCCAATACTGAGACCAAGCTTCAGCAGAGCACACCAATATGTTTTCCAAGTTTGGTTTGCCCATGGCACAACACTCAGACTTCAAAGTAAGCAGAGGTGGGAACACTGTGCTGGGCTGAGGGCAAACTTCAGGCAGAGCAGTCACACACAAGCCCTTCTGGAGCTTGTCACAAAGCACAATGTCCAGGAAGGTTTGATCAGGATTTGTAACCTGGGACACCTAAGGGAAGTGTCTCAACACTGGCTCTCAGAATTGCACCCATAGCTTCTGCTAAATTTCTTCTCTTTTAAGCCATTAATGTACTTCTGTTTCATACATGTTGCCTCAGTCCTTTCTTATTATAGTTTTGGAGTTAGGCAAAGAGTTTGTATGGAATATAATTTTCATGCTACCATTAAATTCCTTCTTTATTCCTTTACTTTTACTGTCTTCCTTTACCATTGATGAAGTCTTTCTCTCATCTTCTTCTCTCTGATAGCCCATGTGAACTACAGATCCATAAGTAAATATTCACAAATTGCAGAAGTCCATCATTAACCTTAACTTTGTATGTGTAGGCCTATGCATTTATGACAGAACTTTATTCAGCAGTGCTGAAGAGAAGCATGTGTAAGCAGTGCTGCTAATGTTGTATATCAGAGAGAGTTCAAAGTGCAGTATTCTGCAGAGGAGCAGGGAGGAACAAGGGCCACAGCAAACAGCTGCCGTGGGCCTCCAGTAGCCCGAGCAGTTTGCTTGAGGCAGGCAGCCCTGACATAGTTTCACTGTTTTGTTCCACCTGGAAGTGCATGGACTGACCATGTGTTTCCTTCCTGCAGACCCTCCCACCATCACAGAGTCCAAGAGCAACGAAGCGGCCACGGGACGACAAGCCTTACTGCGCTGTGAGGCATCGGCAGTGCCCACGCCTGATTTTGAGTGGTACAGAGATGATACCAGGTAAGGCCCTTAGCTCTCCTCTTCCCTCCTCTCTTTTGCAGCCCATTGAATAGAAGTTCTTGTCATCTTCCCCAGCTCCTCTCAAGCAAATTGCTCCTTACAATCCGTTTGAGTCCAGTCAGACTCAGCAGAGCCAGCATGGTCATGGCTGGAGGAGGCGATTCCTCTCTGCACCGGAGATGCTGAAAGAAGCACAGAGGATGGAGCTCTTGCCTTGAAGTCAGCTATGGGCCAATACCTAATCAATGCAATGTTCATGTGTTAAGTAGCCCATGACACAGACCAAAAAGTAGGTAGTATAACTTTTCAATTAGGTAATGCTTCTCCAGGTGCATTCTTGTAGAGGAAGGAGCTGCTGCCGTATGAGATTCCCCAACCTGTGCAACCTGAGCCTCTCAGTCTTATATATGAGAATAAATGAGAAGAGAAAAAGGATCTGTCTTTTCTACCTGAGCATTTACCTGGCATTAAGAAGGTTATTACCCTACATTTTAGGGTAGCCAGAGCTGACCAGGGTGCCCAGGTTCAGGGGTGACTCAGCAAATGCACATACTGCAAATCAGTGTGTTTCACTTGGAACATTTTGTTCAAGTGCAGATTAGCCTTCAGTTGGCCATGGCGTGTCCAAGAGTGACTTGGTGCTAGGTTAAGGCTTCCTTCCTTTCCCTGGTCTTTCGTTGGTTCTCCACTGCTTTACCAGTGGCATTTAATCCCATTGAACTACCACCTTCCTTTCATTACCTCCTCCTATTTTCTATCCATGCTTTCTTTGGTCTTTTTTCTCTCACATCCGCTCCCTGCTTCCCTCTATCCTCACCTGCCAGCTGAGCTGAATGATTTTGGTTTCCTGCCTGCTGGGATTTCCTTCCCAGTACGCAGCTGCCATTGCACTGTACACCTCTCCTCCTGTCTTCCCAGGATAAACAGCGCCAATGGTCTGGAGATAAAGAGCACGGGGAGTCAGTCTCTGCTGATGGTGGCCAATGTCACTGAGGAACACTACGGGAACTACACCTGTGTGGCTGCCAACAAGCTGGGGGTCACAAATGCCAGCCTATACCTTTACAGTAAGTACGGGAGAGGGTGAAGGGAGGCTCTCACAAGCACATGGCTGTGAAGGAAGCACATGGTGGCCAAAACTCAGGAAGGCATCTGCTTGACAACCCAGTCCCATCAGACCTCCAGCCATGACCTGGCTTTCAGCACTCTGCTTCAAATACCTACGTGTTCATATTTGCCTCAAAACACAAACACAGCCAAATCGAAAGGTTTACAGTCAAGCCCTTTGATTGACTGGCTTTGCTGAAGACAGATTTTGTTAAAATAATAAAAATGTGTTTGTTTTAAAGCTGGAAACAAAAAACCCTTTAGAATGACAGCCCCTTTAATAAGTAGACAGAAGGCCAGGGCTCGGAGGATCCATGACAGCTGAGAAATGACAAGTAATTCAGAGAGATGGAGAGAACTAGCCACCGAGCCTGAGGAGAACAAGACAGAGTCAAGGAAAAGAGAAATTGGTTTGAAACTGGAAAGGACAGAAATGGGAAAAGACAGAATGATTTTAAAGGGATATAGCATAGGTACCATAGGGGAAAAGGTAATCAACAGATGAAATATGGAATAAGGATCCTTGGATCTCATTCTGCTACCTTTCAATTACTGAGTTTGTCTTAGTAAGTATAAACAGACAGAAGCTGGAAATAGACCAAGCTCTAGAGCAGAGTTACCTGCTGGTTCTGAATTTTGCAGCTGATTAAAACCTGACCCTAAACAGAGCCCCTTCCCTGCACCTACAATCCACATGCACATACAAATTGTGGTGTATTTAAAATGCAGTTCCCAATTCCAGGTCTAAAACTGGGCCCACATGTTATTGGCATCAGAGATACACTGCAGCAAAATGACCCACTCACACAAATGAACACGTAGGCACAAAAGTGACTGATGGCAGTGTTCCTGTGATGGTCCCAAATTGAATTAAAACTCTTATGTCATGACCTACATGTCCTTTTAAACAGAAAAAAAAAAACCAACCTGTGTAAAGCAGACAGTATGGGATGCAGTTTAGTCTAGTTTCTGCTCACACCAAAAAAAAACAGTTATGGTTTGGTTATTTTTAACAGGTGAAGTGCAAAAGGATTAATCCATGGGCATTCTTTGTTTACCACCTTTGGATTTATTTCATGGCAGTTTGAATTTTTGCAAATTTGGGTGCATTTTGTGGCAGTTATTTTCTAAAGAAGAGATATTATCATAAAAGTACATACAATTGATTTTCTGTAGCATTGCAGCACACAAAGCAAATTTCTACTTTGAAAGTCTTTTCACCCTGGTCTTGTGACTGTCATGAGATTAAAAAAAAAATCCTCAGGCAGCAATCTGGAACACAATTTTCAAATACTCCAGATTTGTTCTTGCTGATATTAATATAATTCTAAGTTTAGAATCCATTATTTGTGACTGAATTCTAAATTTGGCCCTCTCTGTTGGTTCCTGTTACACAGATGAACTGAAATGCATCACTGAAACAAAATATAAGATGAAATTCAATCAAATGTATATATGCACATATGATTTTAGCTGGGGGGGGAGTTAAGTTTTGCTAGAGAAGCATTTTGCATGAGTTCAGAACTTCACCTCAAAGGATCTCAAAGGGTTTGCTAGCAATGAATATTTTAATATCGCAAGTCATTTAGAAATGGGTGAGTGTTGTTAGCACCATTTTGCAGGAGGAAGTTAAGGTACAGAGCGAAGAAGTGGTTTACCCATGGTCATAAAATGAGTGGCAGAACCTGTGAAAGACCCAGGAAAACCTTGCAAAGTTGCTGTTAACTGTTCCAGGAGGAAATGTGGCAGCTCTTAAAGATGATTTGCAACAGTGAGGATCCTATTTTAGGCCCCTTTTGACGTGGATGAAAAATACTTTATTTCCTTCAAATTGTTGGATTTTGTTTATAATTTTTTAGAAATTCAAGGCCTGTTTATACTGGAGGACACTCGAGAACCTCACAAGAGCCAGGAGAATGGAGGTGCAGGAGCTGAGAGAGATTTGATGATTTTCAGTGAAGTCTTTCTAACTTGTTTTTGTTGCTTGGTTAATCCCTGCTTTTTCACTGTGCAATTGCTTCATATTGTTTCAGGAAATCTCTGTTCTTCTAGTTAGTGTGGAAGAAAGAAAGAGAGAGAAAAAAATAAGTTCAGGGAGACTATAGTTGGTATTTTGAAGGTTAAGAAATCAGGAGGGAAATGAGTGAAGGGAATCCAGCTTCATAAAGATAAAGAAAGCAGCTGAAAAAACCCTACAAGCCCAGATGAAAGAAATGCTGTAGTAGTAATGCTGTAATAATCACACAGTAGCTGAAATAACAGGTAATACATATTCCCAGCCACACACCCAGACAGAAAAATAAAACAGTGCCAAGTTCTTGCAAGGTACAGCAGACACTCAAATACTTGGGAGTGTTTTTCATCCCTGGAATCAGAGATCTTATTTCCTTTTTAAACAGAGAACAAGCTTACTGTAGAGCAACATCCCACTGGGGAGGTAAGTACAGCGAGGGTTCCTCAGTGTCCCACTGCAGCACAAGAAAGAATGGCAGCAAGGAGTGAAGAAACAACCAGAGAGTTAATAATGAGGTACTGGCAGCTTTGCCTGAGGTAGAGGGCAGACAGGGAGTAAGCGAAATGATGTGAAAGAACAGTTTAGCAATAGAGAAGAATTGGTGGCTACCATTTCATGAAATCTCAGTCAGCACTGAAAAACTCTGAGAGACTGAGTGCCTTAGATGTCAATGTCATGGATAGAAGATGCATTAAAATACAAAAGCAGCTTCCTTGAGCTGTATGAATAGATAGCTAGTGATTTTTCTTAAAGGATGTAGCAGCAAGATTGCCTGCTGTAGGTGGAGGGATTTATACCCCTGACTCTGAGAGTCTGAGAGACTGAGTTTACAACAACATAAATATGGCCCTACCAAAGGTTTAACTTACTCACAAAACTGTCTCCAACAGCAAATATGGAGTATCTTTTTAGAGAGGGTACTCAGGTACAGTTTGATGATGCAACTGATCTAATAGCTTGCTGACCTTCCTTGCTCCCCAGCCCTTTTGCTCATCTGGCTCTCTGCACGTGGTTTTGTTGTTTCTCTTATTCTGCCACTCAGTGGACATCCCACTGAGCCTGTCCAATCTGCTAAACCAGTGAGTAAGGTAAATGAGCTTTACTGCTCATCTCTCTAAAATGCCCCAAATGTTTTCTTTAGTCATACTGAGCTGAACTAGTTCATGGCTGGGCTCAACAGGCACCAAAGCCCATGCAGAAGAAGCAGCTCTCTCACACATCTGTGGGTATGAGGAGTTGGGAGGCAGGACCATGTTGCTTCAGCCCTGCAGAGCTTGAGAGGGAGGTTTGTAACCCCTAAGCACAACAAGAGGGGCAGTAATACACATCTCTGTTAAAATTACCTGACAGAGAGGCAAAGCCAGGGCTGCCATCACAGAGCAACAGAGGTGAAAAGCAATGACACAGCTGAAGCAAAAGGGTTCTTCCTCCAAGTGTTAGGAGGTAGGGAACATGTTTCCTTTTTGTTTTACTCACCTAGCAGTACTAGGAAAAGCATTAGGAGTGAAAACCACAATAAGTATCTTAACACATGCTACACTGAAGTGTGTATACATACATCTGTATATATAGATAGATATACTTAGCAGATACACATTTGCTGGAGGACCACAGATACATAGGTTTATGTGTAGGTGAGTATGTATATATAGGCATGCACCTCTGTGATGTAGAAGCAAACCCACACACCCCTCCACGGGCACACACAGGCAGGTGCAGCACCTGGCACATTCTAGCAAAGCAGAGGAAAGAAAGAAAAGCTTTTCCAAATTAGTTGCCTTCTCTCTCTAGCCAAGCTAGCCCATCCCATAGGCTGAAACAGGAGACAGCAGCACAGTGCTGCACATCCTGATGCAGTCCTGCTGGCTCAATTGCTCAGTTAGAGGAGACTGCCACATCATCAGGTCCCCTGCTGCATCCTCTGCACCCTTTGGGGAGCTGGCAAACGTGGAGATGAAGCAGAAACTGGCGAGCCAAATCAAGGAGCTTCAGGTGGAGCTCAGCAGTTTTGGCTGCAGCAAGGCACGTTCCTAAAGGCTGGCATTAGCCTCTAACTTGTTATTTGTTAGCATCCTGCCACAAGTGTGCACACGCTGACACCCCTCCTTCCACTCTGCCCACTCTTTGTAGTGCCTGAGCATTTGGTTACGGTGATGGCTGCTGGGGTTTGGAACCTTAACTGTGGCCAAAATCCTTCTTAGTGGCTCTTAGTGCACATCCCCTGCTTTCCTCAAGTCTGTCAATAACTGGGAGACTCAGAAGGGAGGAAAGTGGTTTGGGCTGACAGTCAGAGGGGGCAAGGCTGAGACACTGCTAATGAGCCAGGGTGGAGCAATAAAAGCAGCACACAGTGGGAGAGGGGAACAGAGACAGAGTCCTTGAATAGAAAGCAGCATGATAATGAGGCCGTAGTGCTTTGCTTTAAGTGCTTATGCTGTGCAGCCTGCAGCCTGCTGTGCAGGAAGAAGGTAAAGGGGAGTTGAGTTATTTAACCAAACTAAATAACAAGGAAGTCTTGTCAGCACAAACAGCCTGCTTTCGCAGAACAATAGTCCCCTGTTGCTACACAAACACAGAGATCCAGGCTAGACTTGTATTTGATCTCCCCTGTGCCTGCTGTGGATTCAAACAACTCCATTACCACTGTGAGGGCAGGAGTCCTGCCAGTGTCATAGGGATGGGCCTGACCTGCTCAATCCTCATGAGCTCCAGTGAGACAGAAACTCACTCTTTGCACCAAGGATACTGCAGAAAGAGCATTGGCCTCCAAACAGCTGGGCCTAGGTGGTCAGAGAATAACAGTGGGCTACTGATTTATCCTGCCAAAGTCTGTGTCCATCAGCAGTGATCTTAGCAGGTAAGCCAGGAGATCACTCATTGCCCCAGGCCTACCAGCTGTTGCAGCTAAATGTCTACCTATGGATCAGTCCATGGATAGGAACTTGT